TTTTGTTGCGGGGCTCCCATGCAAACTCATGCTTTAGGGGACCCGTTACCCTAGTGACACTGCCACAGGGCTTTTCTCTCCGCTCGAGTCAAGCTAGCTAAGGGGTTTTCACCCCTTCTTTTCCAAAGTGTGTTTTCGAGATTTCCTGAGCCCGAGCTCGGATGTACAATAAGACGGGCCGCTGAGCCATCCTCCAAATCACTCCACTGCCCCGCACGGGCTCCCAGAACCTCTTCCGGACGCTCCAAAGGGGCTGTTGCCCCTGCTAAGTCCCTTTAAAGTGTGTTTTCGAGATTTCCTGAGCCTGAGCTCGGATGTACAATAAGACGGGCCGCTGAGCCAACCTCCAAATCACTCCGCAGCCCGCACGGGCTCCCAGAACCTTTTCCAGACGCTCCAAAGGGGCTGTTGCCCCTGCAAAGTCTCTTTTACTTTCTCAAAGGGGCCCAGCCCCATGCAGGTCGGACGGACACTTGTGTGATTGGGGGGGAACCCCTTCGTTCCAACCAATTGCACTTTGCCTTTTGAGCATTTCTCACCTCTGGCACCCGCAAATGGCGGGGGCGCACCTGCGCGCGGTGTAGGGGGGCTTGCTCCCCTGCACCACAACCCTGTGGAAAGGAAAGAAAGAGATCTTTCAAGTGGAGATCTTACAAGTGCCTCCATGAATTGACCTGCTAATCGCTAAGCAGGACGATGGAACCCTGGATTTGGCTGCTGGGAATTCAAAATTAGCCGTCACCCTGTTGCTTCTGTGGAGCTGACATAGATACTATTCTCAAGTTGTAGGCTCGTGGGTATTCGTGTTCGTCTCGGGCAGTCTAGTCTTAGGCCATCGATTTCGTTCTGATTTTGGTCGTAGCTCTTGTAGCTGTAGACGTGGAAGTAGCAAATCGTCGTTTATTCCTCGTACGCATGATTAATCGTGGTTACGATCGCGGCATTGCAGCTCAGGACGAAAGCATCAGTACATGCGACCCATAAGCGCGCGAGCCCTCAAGAAGGAAACTTCAGGCCGCAGCTCCAAGCCCCATGTCCTCAGCCAATCTACCAGCAAACTTGGAGTTTCTTGCTGCGGCAGCTGCGTGGAATGTGCTTAATTAAGACTCAGGCGCTCATGGTTACGGAGCATCCGGCTGTGAAGTCGTCTGGTGCTGCTATGCTGGAGAGCATGCGACATGCAGCCTGTCTGATCAGAAAGCAAGGTCTTTCTGTGATGAGCTGTCGAGTGCAGTACTCCCTGTCTCAGATGACCAGGTGAACGACCTGATCCAGAGGTGCGGACCTTGGGTAACTTCGGGCGACTTCCCTGCGGAGAGGACGATCGAGTCTTGGCGACATAGTTGGCCAAGCTATTACTCCTGCCTACTAGTAGCAGGATTCCAGTAAACCAAGTTGAGCCTAAGGAAGCAAACAAAGAGGTTCTCACAGCGCTGACGAAGGCGCGCAAGGGCATTGGAAGAACGGCGGGTCTATTTTGCACGTAGCTGGTGAAGGCGAAGATCATGGAACAAACGCTTGTCGAAGAGATGTTGTACAATGCTGTAAGATGTATGTTTGCACACGTTCGCGCACATACGAAGCGAGTTGCGCATTTACATATAATTTCAATACATAAATGGCTGTTTTGAAGACATACAAATGTACATGTGCTTGAGTCTTCAGATCTGCATGTGGACATTCTCGCTTACATGCTTCTGTGACTCCTTTGTGTAACTAGGCATGTCCTGACACAACGTATACAGCCGCACGATATTAGTGCTTACTTATTCGTTTCAGTACGGACTGACTCAACTCTACAGGTCCAGAACGACATGCAAAAGCTGGATGACATCGATCTCGATGCCCTCAAGCCTGCATGGGGCGATCGGGACTCCGCCATTTGTCTGAACCCGGTTCGGTGACCTTCGGTGCACGATGTAGTCTGGCTTTCAAGTTCAGTGGTTGGTTCGTGGAAACGGGAGGAAGGGGCTTCGTGAGGACTGGACTGCTTCAAGATCCGGGGGGTGCATCGATGGCACCCTAGTTCAGAACAACACTGATCAGATGTTGAGTGGTGAACTGGCAGGTTTGCAGCCCCGCCTGTCTTGACCGCTGAGATCTATTGCTGCCTCGGGTTTCCCGGAATGACTGCTCAAGAGGGATGTAGCCTGGAGCTTCGACAAGAAGGTGCCAAGCTGCGACATGGGTTATGTAATCCAGCCGGGCCTGCGAGCCACCCTGCAGGAGCCAAGAACCCACCCCCTGAGTTCGTGTGCGTGTACCCCTCCCTCTTCACTGAACGGTTGTTTTAGATTAGGAGCACATGCTTGCCCGGGACTTGCGTTGCGCATCTCTTTAGTCATTCCGGAGCGATCTCCCTGCGGTGCGACTTGTGGGCCGGCCAGATGGGAAAACAAGCAATCAGCAGATGCCGAGCCCGAAGAAAAGTCGCAATCCCGCACCCAACAAAAAAAAGAGACTCCCAAGCTTTGAACCTGAGAGGTGTTATCTTTCTTTCACATGGTACAACTGCCTCCTAGAGCGTCCCGCTAGCACATGAATTCATGAGACGAAACAAACAGTAAAGAGCGGGGCTCAGGCGACAAGTGTGAAAGCTTACCTAACCACTTGGCGAGCATGCCGCAAAGCTGTTCTGAAAAGCCAAAAGTAATCTGGCACGTCGCCCCCCCCTTCTTGCTGCGCTCAAAGCAAAGGGAAATCCAAGCGAGAACGAGCCGAAGCCAGGAGGCATGCGATCGGATGGCCTTCAAAGGGCAGGAAAGAGGCAGCCAGGAGCTGGCACATGGTGTCCCCGGACCTGGCACAGCAACCTGAAGACAATCAAAATCATCGAGCTGTATCAGGGGCACAGTCCAAAGACCCTTTACACAAATCCTCAACCGAGACACCTCCTTTGTCAGCAGGCGCTTGCTTCCAACACCGGTACTCGCCACAGGCACAAGGGACTACAGAAAAAGTGGCCGTGCCAGCAGGCAATGGCATGAGCAAGGGATCGAAACTGGCTGCTTCATTTGGCCCGGCTTTAGGGGCATAAAACATGTTCTTATGTTCTTACCACAAGTCAGCCTGACGGGCCAACCTAGCGTCCTCCGCGAAGCTCTTGGTTTCTTCGGCTGGAAGCCTCGCGATCCACACCTCGACCGTGCGTTGCAAAGGGTAGGGGCTGGAACCATGCAACCACTGTCTGAAAGATCTTTTCCGTTGAGACGAAAGTGCCCGCTCGGAGCTGGCGACGCAGATGAACGCAGATGTCTGGCCACAGAGCCGGCAGGTGCTCAAGCCCGATGCCAGTAATGACACCCTGTGCATGCCCATCCTTGCCCGACCGAGAGCACCTCAAACAGACCGTCCCCCAGCCCATTCGATGGCCTGGCAACACCTGAGCGAGGAGAGGTGTTATCGATAATTATCTCTGGCGGATATATGAAACTTCTCAGAGGAACAGGGTCAAGAAAGCGGATTGCAAGCTTTCGATCTGCAGGTCCGCATGGCCCGGAAGAGCTTGATTGGCTGCGCGCAGGTCGCTTAAGCTGAGTCGGCTGTTGTTAAGCTTGTTGGTTTGGCGGTGTGTAGGGGGTTTTGAGACGCTTTGGGTCATCTTCGAGTTTCGGAACACTGGCGGCTGTAGGCTTGGGCGTGTGTCCACACAGTGTCCGCACTTACCATGTGCGGTTTGCCAGTTCCTGCCCCGTCTACTGTTGCTCCTGGCAGCTTCTGTATGTCTGGTTTCCTGTGAAGACGATGTTCTTTCGTCTCCATCACATTGACCAGCTACCTTTCTGCAACGAGAGGCACTGGCATAGAACATCATTTGTAACGGCCAGAAGATGGTCCATGATCACCCGTACAGGAGATCATGAGGCGTCTGGAGTCTCTGAAGGCGTGCTTGGCCTCACCCGTTTCGCACCTTGGCACCAGTAACTCATGCACGTAACACGTAGTGGAAGCTTAATTTGCTCGAATAAGGTTTTGAGACAAAGAGGGAGAGTGTGATTGCTTCCACTGTGGTGATGTATACTGCGTTGCTGCCAATCATACAGAAGTATTTTCTTATGCATCTCCTTCTATATATATATACATATGTATATATATATATATGTATGTATGTACATATGTTCGATCTCGTTTTCGCATCCCCACAAAGCCCTTGAAGTAAAGGGAGCCTGGTGGCCGGGGGACTTAACTCGTCCGCGTGGAAGTTTATTAGCAAGTCTTGCGGTATTGGGCCCGCACTTTTTTTTCCTATCGTTGGCGGTCCCCGGCGGCCCTTGGTAACGTTGGCGGTAAGCCTGGGCAGCCCCAAGCAAGCCTGGGTCGTTTATCTATATGACATACAGCCCACAAGCACAGGTATGCAGAAGTGGCGGGGGGGAGCGCGCACATGAACTAGATGTCGC